TGTGTGTGTGTGTGTGTGTGTGTGTGTGTGTGTGTGTGTGTGTGTGTGTGTGTGTGTGTGTGTGTGTCTGCTGTTGTCTCACTAGAGAATATTGATCACAGGCCTCCATCCTCACAATAATCACCCTGAGGTAATGCCACAGCTTCTCTTAAAGCAGAGCTGCAATGGTCTCCGAGAGTGTGAGGCACTCAGCATGTGAGAGCAGACATCAGCGTGGAGCTAATCTCTTGCAGTGCTCAGCTCTACAGGTTGAATCCCTCTGACTGGTCACCTGACCTACCGTTTTTAAACAGCTGATATCTACATGTCCATTTGTAGAGCACAAAGATTCCCCAGACTGCTTTTTTCAGTCTGAAAATCAACCCAAGGAGCAAAACCAAAATCTAAATTATTATTGTAAGGATGTAATTATTTTACTTGTTTACTGAGTACATTAGGCTATTCAAAATCAGTCTGACTGTGTGGCAAATCTATGCATTGTAAAAGTGAGTAATTGGGACAACTTGTTTTCTTTTTTTGTTCTGTCTTTTTGGTGTTTTATTTTTAAGCTGGTATAAGAATAATAATTCAGGAAGAATGATTCAATAATGTTTTAAAGTGTTTCCACTAAATATCAAAGTTTACTTACTGTTAAACCACAAAAGTCAGCTTATGATGACGTATGGCTCTGATAACATTTCCATAAAATCATCAACACAATCAGCCCCTTAAATATTCTTTTGGAGGCATATGCTTTACTCCTTGTCTGTATTGTTAAAATCCGAAAATATGACACTAAATCAGTGTCGGGTTTGTCGAATCAAGAGTTTTAGCAGCAAATCAAGCTCAAAATGATGCAAACGTATGATGGAGACTTGGACTGCGTCGTAAAGGAGTACCAAAGCAAAGGAAAAAATATGTATTAAACATGCACTACGACCAAGTATCCTTGTACTGTAAGGATTTGAAGCAGACTAGCAGAAAGTAGGGCATATTTAAACCATGTTTGCAGCAGGGAGCTCATCGCTCGTGTCTGTCCACCGGGAGCAGACACGCCCAAGCACAAAACATGCGACTCAACAACACACTGCAAGTCGGAACGCTGGAAAGCTCCGCGGAGACAGACACTGTTGCTGCTGCAGCGGCTCCAACCAGCCAGCATCAGCACCTTCGGATATGCAAAACCGCAGTGGTTCATCCCTCATTCACAGCCTCCAGCCTGGTGGGCAGGCTGGCAGCTCGGTCGCTCCCTCCTTCCAACCCTGTGTCCGCCGGGACCTACCTGAAACTGGCCGGGGACTTCACCTGGATGTTGCGGCCAGACGGGGGGGTAGCTTTCCTCTTCTCCCTGTCCGCCATGCTGCCCCTTTCTCATTTCTCCGTTCCGCCGTGCAGCTGCCCGGGAAAGACACCTGAGAGAGGTCCGGCGATGCCGCGATAGGATGCTGCCTTCGAAGACTGTGGGAAACATAGTAACTACCTAAAGTGGGGCAAGAATAATCAAAACTGGTAACGCCCAAAGATTTTGATGTATTTGGAAATTATTCGCCCTGTAAAATTATCCAGTTTGTGTTTTCCTTCATTAAATTATATATATATATATATATATATATATATAGCTGCTCAGCACAACCTTAAAGTGAGTGTTGACCAAGGTGCCATGGTCTTATAATTCTCTCCCTCTCGTTTTTAAACAGAGTTACATAGCTGAGATGTAATTTCCTAAAAACATCACCTAAATTTAGAACTTCAGGAGGGTCTTAAGCATTTGCATAAATATTTCTGAAAAACATGTAAGTTGTGTACGTCCAGAAGTTGATCAATTCGATTACCTCATTCTTCACTTGAACAAGTGTCAGATTTACATTTAAGCAGGTTATTTCCAAAACAGAAGACACGAAAATAGACTTCAGACAGTCGATTTCCGTCTTTAGACAGAAGAGAAGAGAAAATTACTGCTATATGACCTATAGGACATTAACTCACTGGGTTCTGTTCTATATGGATTTAACTCAGACTACACAGTTCAGTTTGCTGTGAGGACTTTTTTTTCATACAGGCACGAGTGGCTACAAAAAAGACTACCAAAATATATGATAATCTGACATGTATTTTTTATATGACAGCGACAGTTTATGTAATTAATAACATGTCATTTCTTTTGACTACAGGGGTTTAACAATTAACCATTCTTCATGACATTTACGAGTAGACCCTGAAGGCAGCATGAGCCAGCACGTAGAAGAGAGTTTTGAGGAACTGATGAAAAACTAGAGAAATACAGGGGTAGCAAGCCTATTTTAGGAGTTTGCAGATGACCGGATTGATTTGGACTATCATATTATTAAAGATCAGCTTAAATGTTTTACATGCAGCAGTTGTAATTTTTCATGTAACACTGTAAGGTCTACAACTTGTCTTCACAAAGAAAAACATAGCTGACAGTCTTCAAGAGCCAGCAGAGGCTGTCATTGTACACATAAACACTGAAACGCTGCATATCAAAAATAGAAATGCAAGTAGTCTTCTGGAGTATTTTTAAATACATCTATTACAAAGCATTTATTACAAAATCAGCCTCAGCCCTGAACCTAATACTTGGTGACACTTTTCCAAATAATACTCATACCAGTCACTAAAAAAGAAGATAAAATTGGCTAGCACAAAAAACATTTTTCCACTAAACATATTGCTTAAGAGGTTGTGATGCTGTGTTTGTCTTCTTTGACGTCATTCTCATCAGTCATCACTGCGAAGTGGCAGCTTTAGAGAAAACACAGTGGTGATTAATAACAATATAAACAATGCACATGTTGTTGTTGTATTTTCCCCTTTATTTTACAGAATAAAGAAGACATCAATTTACCTTTTGGAAAAATGAATTCCGTTCGTCGTGTATGGCCTCCCTGGCAAACTAATTTTTCCTCCTTGACACTGTAAAAAATAAAGAGATATAAACAATAACCAGATGAAAATACATAATAAAACAGGGGGAGGAGAAAAACAAGTTAATTCTAGTTCTGTGTGCTACCTGTTACAAGCTAACAGTAATTTGTTTTAGAACCGATGCTAATGGTAAAAGTCTGAGGGCACGGGAACATTGGAATTCTGACCATTGCTAGTACATCAGAAGACTTACACACCACTTTCGCCTCATAAAAATCAGAAACAAACTGAGTCGGACTGGAGCTCTCTGCCCTTTACCAATCCAGCCACAGGCCCATCCATCTGGCCCATCAAGACTCACTCTCATTTCATCAGTCCATAAAACCTTAGAAAAATCAGTCTTGAGATATTTCTTGGCCCAGTCTTGACGTTTCAGCTTGTGTGTCTTGTTCAGTGGTGGTCGTCTTTCAGCCTTTCTTACCTTGGCCATGTCTCTGAGTATTGCACACCTTGTGCTTTTGGGCACTCCAGTGATGTTGCAGCTCTGAAATATGGCCAAACTGGTGGCAAGTGGCATCTTGGCAGCTGCACGCTTGACTTTTCTCAGTTCATGGGCAGTTATTTTGCGCCTTGGTTTTTCCACACGCTTCTTGCGACCCTGTTGACTATTTTGAATGAAACGCTTGATTGTTCGATGATCACGCTTCAGAAGCTTTGCAATTTTGAGACTGCTGCATCCCTCTGCAAGATATCTCACTATTTTTGACTTTTCTGAGCCTGTCAAGTCCTTCTTTTGACCCATTTTGCCAAAGGAAAGGACGTTGCCTAATAATTATGCACACCTGATATAGGGTGTTGATGTCATTAGACCACACCCCTTCTCATTACAGAGATGCACATCACCTAATATGCTTAATTGGTAGTAGGCTTTCGAGCCTATACAGCTTGGAGTAAGACAACATGCATGAAGAGGATGATGTGGACAAAATACTCATTTCCCTAATAATTCTGCACTCCCTGTAGTCTAGATTCTGAAAAGCCATCAGGGATGAAGTCTTAAGAGATACAACACTTACAGACTGTAAAGGTTGGTGTTGTTCAGTTCCTGCCAGTCCCTCCAGGTAAAATAATGCAGACAGCCTCTCTCTGGACAGGGAGTGTGTACCTGCTGGGTCAGTCCTGGCCACTGCCTTGACAGCACAAACAGCTTGGACATCACTGCCAAGATCAGATCCCACATCTGCCGAAACTCTAAGAAAAGAAATGAGCTACATGTAGTTCTACTGTTGCTGTCGAGCTCTTTTTGGTCCTAAAACAAAAGACACCACAGATTTTTTTTTTACCTTCATCCTTCTCAGGTCTTCGGCAGCGTATCTCTATAAAGGAATCCCATTGTTGTCCCCCTGTCTAAACAGAGCAAGTCTGTTTCCACAGCAGAGGAGACACTGCTCCTTTCCCACCCAGTGAGTCGAGTAAAGAGAGCACGTCTTAATGATCAGTCTAAGGGTTACATGTGGCAACCATGAGAGATCAGAAGATTTATGGTTCATGAGGTTTTTGAGAGGAGCAAGAATAACAAAAAAAATTGAATTATAAATCAATGAAAACATTGGAAACTGAAGAAATTTACAAAGAAAGTGTAAATGTAAAAGTGTGCCTATATATATATATATATATATATATAAAAAAGACACAATACATCTTCTCTGTAGCTTATTGAATGAGCTTTTTGTGGTGCTAGTGGTGTGTGTGAATTTCATTGTACATATTTGAGTCTTTTATATAGACTCTGCCTTGAAAATTGTGAAAACCAACATACAATTGAAAATATACTTATCTTACAGATTGGGCTGGGCAACTCCAGGCCTTAAGTGCTAGTGTCCTGCAGATTTTAGATAACACTGTTGTATTGTTTATAATGTTTGCACTTCGTGCTTATTGTCCCTTGGGGTTTGCCGTAGTGGCAGTGGGGCGGGTTACGGAAGTGGAGGTGTGTTATGTTGTACCGAGCGAGTGGTAAATAAAGAAGATGGAGACTCACGAAGCAGTTTAAGAATATATTATTCATAAGTCAAAGAACAGAATATTACATGGTGTCAGAGTAATTCGAACTAAACGCCCTTTGACACCGCGAAATGGATTCGTCAGGAGTTCCTGCACCACGAATGGACTGGGATTCAGCTACTCTTCCCGAGAGTCCGAGGAGACCCAGTGCAGCTATCTTCTTCTGTGGGTAGGAAAAAGAGGCAGAGACATTTATAACACATGGCAGCTGTCTGATGAAGAAGCTAAAAGGCTGACCACCTATCTTGACAGGTTTGAACAGTACCTCATGCCGAAAACGAACACCGTTTTTGCCAGATACAAATTTAATGAAAGACTCCAAGGCGAAGGAGAGTCACTCGAACATTTTGTGACAGAGTTAAAGCTACTCGTCAAGCAGTGTGGCTATGTTAACTGTGATGAAATGGTCCAAGACAGGATTGTCTTTGCAACCAGTTTCCCACAAGTCAAAGAAAAGCTGCTGAGCCAAGGGTCAGATTTGACTCTAGAAAAAGGCATAGACATTGCACGTTCCTATGAAATCGCACAAAACAGGTACTGCTTTCTGCGCCTTCCCTTTGGGATAATATCACCACAGGACATTTTCCAAAGGAAAATCAATGAGACATATGTAGGGCTCAATGGGGTGGCAGCCATCGTGGATGACATCCTCGTGTTTGGCAAGACAAAGGAGGAACACGACGAGAACCTCCGTGCCATGCTTGAGCGCACAAGGGAGCGAGGAGTGCGTCTCGATCCAGAGAAATGTGTCATAGGGGCCACAGAAGTGAGTTACTTTGGACACAAACTCACCCGGGAGGGCATCCAGCCAGACCCAAAGAAACTACAGAAATTCAAGGACATGCCACCTCCTGAGAATAAGAATGAGCTTGAGACAATTCTTGGTATGCCGAACTACCTGTCCAGATTCGCACCACGACTATCAGAAATGAACGCACCGCTGCGTCAGCTGCTCAAGCAAGACTCTGAGTTCGTCTGGGATCAGAATCATGACAGAGTCTTCCAGCAAATAAAGGATCTCATAACCAGGGAACCAGGCCCCATACTGGCATACTACGACACGACCAAGGAGCTATGCCTACAGGTAGATGCATCAAAGTATGGCTTGGGAGCTGTGTTGATGCAGGACGGACATCCAATAGCATATGCTTCAAAGACACTGACCCCGACAGAGGTTAACTATGCACAGATTGAAAAAGAACTCTTTGCAGTGTTGTTTGGATGCAAGCGCTTCCACACCTACATGTACGGCAGAAGAGTTTTCGTCGAGTCAGACCACAAGCCCTTGGAGCACATATTGAAGAAGCCAATCTCCGTAGCCCCTGCTCGTCTGCAGCACATGCTGTTACAGCTGCAGAGATATGACATAGAGATTGTGCACCGGCATGGAAAAGACATACCTGTGGCCGGCACACTGTCCAGGAAACCATTGCTCGACCAAGACAGCACGCTGAGCAAAGGCATGGAGGATCAGGTCCACTCAGTGATAAACAGCCTCCCAGTAAGTGACCAAAAGGTCTCAGAGATACAGGCTGCGACAGCACGCGACCCGCAGCTCACCCTTCTGAAGTAAACCGTGCATGATGGCTGGCCTGAGGACAGGAAAAAATGCCCCCATATCCTTTAGGACTTCTGGAATTTCAGAGATGAAATTTCACACTTCCATGGCATCATCTTTAAAGGTGACAAAATCACAGTGCCAACAGCCCTAAGAAACAATATGCTGGAGAGAATCCACACTGGGCACATGGGGATTGAGAGGAGTAAGCAGAGAGCGAGGGACACCCTCTTCTGGCCAGGCATGGGCAAGGACATTGCTGCCACGGTGGAAAACTGTTTCATATGTTAGGAGAGGTGTGCAGCGAACCCTAAAGAACCTCTCATTACACAACAGATTCCTGAGAGACCATGGCAGGCTGTGGCCTCAGACCTCTTCACATGGCGTGGACGAGACTATTTAGTAGTTGTGGACTATTACAGCCACTTCTTTGAGGTCGAAAGGCTATTCTCCACCACCGCAGGGTCCGTCATCAAAAAGCTCAAGGCCATATTCGCCAGACACGGTATACCAGAGAAGCTTATTTCAGATAACGGCCCACAGTACAGCTCTCGAGAGTTCAAGGACTTCGCAGTCACATGGGACTTTGTCCACACAACCTCAAGCCCTTTGTACCCACAAAATAATGGCCTTGCCGAAAGAACAGTCAAAACGGCCAAAGCAATTCTGGATAAAGCTCATGCTCAGGGAGTAGATCCCTACCTGTCTCTATTGGAGCAAAGGAACACACCAGTCGACGGCTTCAGATCACCCGCGCAGCTCCTCATGAGTCGATGTCTGCGCTCAGTGCTTCCCATCACCGTATACCAGTTGGTACCCCGCGTCGTAAGCCAGATGGTGGTGCAAAAAACACGGATGGAAAGAGAAGAGCACCAGAGGCGATACTACAAATGCAGCGCAGAGGGAGCACATCTGCTTTCAGGATGAGTCCAGAAGTTGGAAACCGGCTGTCATCATCCGACCTGCAGAGACTGCCCGCTCTTTTGTGATCCGCACTGGCGAGGGGCAGACGTCGGCGTAACTGACGACACCTGAGAGGCGCTAAGGCGTGACCAGCACCTTCAGCACCAGCACCCGATCTGATAAGCCAGCCTGATAGTGCAGCTCAACAACAAGCAGAGCCCTTGTCGCCATCTAGAGACACTGCAACACCAACCATGGACACTAGCCCTGCCCTGACCACCAGATCAGGACGAGTGGTCAAACCAAGGGTCATCCTTGACCTGTGATTGTAAAGGGTGTAGGCGGGGTCAAAACACCTGAATCAAATGATAAGTTCATTACCAGGCCTCTGGAGAACTTCAAGACATGTTGAGGAGGTCATTTAGCAGCTGTGTGGGATCAAGGACACATCTAAAACCTGTAGGACACTGTCACTTGAGGCCTGGAGTTGCCTACCCCTGTTATAAAAGGTGACAAACAATTAAATTTTTTCCAAGCTACCTGTGAAAGAAGCCATGTGGAACCTCAGGAAGGACGTACACATGCACTCTGAGATCATCCTGCTTGTTCTCACCCCATTTCTGACATACTATGAGGTCATCCTTCAGATAGATGGGGAAGAGGCAAGCTCCATCAGGGTCTCTCTTTGACTCCCTGACTGACTCCCAGTGATTTTCTCCTGGGATGAAGTCTGGTGCTTGGGGGTTCATGGGGCTTCTGACAAGAGTTGGGAGGCAAACCTCAAAGTGCTGCAACAGGGTGAGAATTATGCCTTCCTCCTTTTTGTTACCTACTACCTCTCTGACCAAATCATCATCATCTATGACCAGTTTCTCTAACTCCCTCCGGACTAAGATGCGCAGGGCTGCATTGTGCAGGGTGCCTCTGCACCGCAAGTCCTCCACCCAGATGAACCTTTGTTTCATCAGAGCTCCTTCTTGCATGAGTAGGTCTCTTGAGATTCTCTCAAGCTGCTGCACCAGGTCATGTCTCACAATGGTCTGCAATCACAGAAAGCAGTTAGGAGAGTAAGTTAGGAGAAACTGTGGTAACAATAGTTTAGTGTAGTTTGTAAATTCTGTGGAAATCTTCAGGCAAAGGGATCAAAAGAGTGTAGCTGCTTGTTTGACCGTGGCCAGTGCTATTTTTTGGTCTTAACCTAACTGCATTCTGATCCATGTATACATTATATTTATTGGTAATTTGTTTGGAATTAAAATTAAAGTGGAAGCGACACTACCAGGAATCTTCACATTAATGCTTGTAAAGAAAACCATTGTACTTCGAAAGGGTAGTGTGTGCATACAAAGGTCTGAAAAAAGAAAAACAGCCACTGACCTTGAACATAGAAATGAGGAATGAAGGCTGGATAAACACATGGTCACGTAGTACATCAATATCTTCATACCAAATAATAACCCCAATTCTGTGCAGATATCGCAAGAGGAATTGCAATATGGAGTGGAGGTGCTCTTTGCTCTGTGTTACATGGTTCATTATTAAATCACAGAGTTCTTCAAGTAGAATAATACCTGACATAGAAAATGGATACTTTTTATTACAAAGCAAAAACAACTTCTCCGTGTTACTTAAATAAAGTGCACAGTCATTAACTGGACTTACCATGTTGAGGAATCTGTTCTAGTGTAACAAGTTTTTGGATGGCTTGTTCCACTTCTTCATAACTTTGTGGTAAGATGGTCTCAGAACACAGGAAAGCGCTTTCTGATTGAATGCATTTCAAAATATGACTTCTGAATCTTACAATATCCTGAGTCTTTGTGCAGTCAAGAGTTAGAAGATCCAACACCTGAAGGGAAGGTAAAGGAAAACTGTAAAAGGTTCTGCATCCACAGTAACACCCCACTGGGCCTGTGTGGCATTTAAAATGGTATATTTTAATCATACCAATCATTACCTTCAAACTGTATTCTAAAAGGGAATCAATCTCATCCACTTGATCCATGTAGAGAAATGGGTCTGTATTTTCTTCCAGATTTTTCTTCTGGTACTTTAAAACCATCTTTCTGTTTACCAGCATTATGTTAATCTTCTCATCAATGTCTTTCTTCTTCTCCATTACCTCTTCCAGGTCTCTGCACTGATCACAATGTGTTCCCACAAGCATGACCACTGCATTTGGCACACGTAGCTGTATGTTGTTTAACCAGAACCAAATCTGGTCTTTGAAAGACTCTGGGTCTACAGTGCTATAGCTGATAGAAAATCAGAATCATTATTGTTGTTTTTTTTGCTATTGGTCTCTAAGATGCTGGGTGTCATTGATACTTACACATAATGTCAGAATGCTGCTGCTCAATAACTGGCATACACAAATATTAATTTCACATTTGTCATATCTTGGCTAACTAGCACTAAACTCAATGTATAGTTTTTGTTCAAGTAAATATCAGTAGGGTGGAAGGTATTTGGTCATAAAGCACATTAAAAAAAAACTGTTTCTTGACTGAAAAAGTAGGGTTTTTTTTGAAGCTGTAAGTACAACATTCATAAACTAAGCGACATATGGCAGCCATGTGAATATTGAAAATATCCACTGCTGCTGTCACCTAGATAACTAATACATACACACACACACACACATATATATATATATATATATATACACAGTGGGGCAAAAAAGTATTTAGTCAGCCACCGATTGTGCAAGTTCCCCCACCTAAAATGATGACAGAGGTCAGTAATTTGCACCAGAGGTACACTTCAACTGTGAGAGACAGAATGTGAAAAAAAAATCCATGAATCCACATGGTAGGATTTGTAAAGAATTTATTCGTAAATCAGGGTGGAAAATAAGTATTTGGTCAATAACAAAAATACAACTCAATACTTTGTAACATAACCTTTGTTGGCAATAACAGAGGTCAAACGTTTACTATAGGTCTTTACCAGGTTTGCACACACAGTAGCTGGTATTTTGGCCCATTCCTCCATGCAGATCTTCTCGAGAGCAGTGATGTTTTGGGGCTGTCGCCGAGCAACACGGACTTTCAACTCCCGCCACAGATTTTCTATGGGGTTGAGGTCTGGAGACTGGCTAGGCCACTCCAGGACTTTCAAATGCTTCTTACGGAGCCACTCCTTTGTTGCCCGGGCGGTGTGTTTTGGATCATTGTCATGTTGGAAGACCCAGCCTCGTTTCATCTTCAAAGTTCTCACTGATGGAAGGAGGTTTTGGCTCAAAATCTCACGATACATGGCCCCATTCATTCTGTCCTTAACACGGATCAGTCGTCCTGTCCCCTTGGCAGAAAAACAGCCCCATAGCATGATGTTTCCACCCCCATGCTTCACAGTAGGTATGGTGTTCTTGGGATGCAACTCAGTATTCTTCTTCCTCCAAACACGACGAGTTGAGTTTATACCACAAAGTTCTACTTTGGTTTCATCTGACCACATGACATTCTCCCAATCCTCTGCTGTATCATCCATGTGCTCTCTGGCAAACTTCAGACGGGCCTGGACATGCACTGGCTTCAGCAGCGGAACACGTCTGGCACTGCGGGATTTGATTCCCTGCCGTTGTAGTGTGTTACTGATGGTGACCTTTGTTACTTTGGTCCCAGCTCTCTGCAGGTCATTCACCAGGTCCCCCCGTGTGGTTCTGGGATCTTTGCTCACCGTTCTCATGATCATTTTGACCCCACGGGATGAGATCTTGCGTGGAGCCCCAGATCGAGGGAGATTATCAGTGGTCTTGTATGTCTTCCATTTTCTGATGATTGCTCCCACAGTTGATTTTTTCACACCAAGCTGCTTGCCTATTGTAGATTCACTCTTCCCAGTCTGGTGCAGGTCTACAATACTTTTCCTGGTGTCCTTCGAAAGCTCTTTGGTCTTGGCCATGGCGGAGTTTGGAGTCTGACTGTTTGAGGCTGTGGACAGGTGTCTTTTATACAGATGATGAGTTCAAACAGGTGCCATTCATACAGGTAACGAGTGGGGGACAGAAAAGCTTCTTACAGAAGACGTTACAGGTCTGTGAGAGCCAGAGATTTTCCTTGTTTGAGGTGACCAAATACTTATTTTCCACCCTGATTTACGAATAAATTCTTTACAAATCCTACCATGTGGATTCATGGATTTTTTTTTCACATTCTGTCTCTCACAGTTGAAGTGTACCTCTGGTGCAAATTACTGACCTCTGTCATCATTTTAGTGGGGGAACTTGCACAATCGGTGGCTGACTAAATACTTTTTTGCCCCACTGTATATATTGTTGGCGGCACAAGGTACTATGATATATATAGACCCCTATGTAAGCAAGCCTACCGAGAAATGAGCGACAGTAAGTATAATTATATAATATAATTATAACGTAAACTATGTGTGTGTGTGTGTGTGTGTGTGTCAACTTCCACAGATTTCCCTTGCTTTCTAAAATAAAGGCTGAATATACAATTGCAAAGCATTAAAAAGACTTTCCAGTGAAAGAATTTCTTTTCGAAAGATAACTTTTAGATAGCTGGAAGGGCAACAAAAGAACTATAGTCACATTAGTCATATTATTTGACTATTAGTCATATAATTTAACAAAATAAGCATCAAAAAAGAAACAATAATTGTCTCACCTGGCCAAATTGACAGTGAGGATAACAAGTGCTCTTGGTGTGATAAAGATATGATGTGTCAGATAGTACTCCTCCTGCCCTGCAAAGTCCCAGAGAAGGAAGCGGATTTCATGGGTGTATAGCCGAGTGATATCTATTCCTTCCGTCCGATCCTTCATTGCAACTGCCACAGGCTTCCCTTCCCTAAGGCTGTGGCAGAGTGTGGACTTCCCGGCCATGGAAGAGCCCAGAAACATTGCTTTAACTGTCCAGGTAGTGTGAGCATTGGGGTTCTCCTTCATTTGAAGGAAGTAGCTCTGAATGTCCATGACCCCTCCAGCACAGACTTCCTCTGGTGGACACCTTAGTGGATTACACATGGCCTTGAACTTGGTCAGCTCACAGCTACCTTTCTGGAAAAGCTGGGATGGTAGCTCTGTAAGCTGGTTCTTCTCAACCAATAACTCCCTCAGTTTTGGTAGCCCAACTAGTGGTTCGATGTTTTGTAGGCAGTTTTTGGAAAGGTCCAGGTAAGTAAGACTGGTACACTGGTTTATATCTGAAGGAAGCCTTGCCAGGCGATTGGTGCTGAGTTTTAGGAACTTTAAATTTCTAAGATGTGGGAAGATTCCTTCTGGAATTGATCTGACATTGTTATGATTCATATAGAGTGTCTGTAAATTTTTCAAGTTGCAGATTTCTTGAGAAAACTCGATTATCTTGTTCCTGGACAGATTAAGCTCTGTGATGTTGGTGTTTTTGGAGATGCCGGTGACACGCTTTAGTTTGTTCCTCTGCAAATCCACACTTGTATACAAAGTAACTGGTGCCAGAAGGTCCTGAGGAAGGTACTTCAGTTTTTGTCCTGATAGATCCCATACCTCCCAACTGGTTGCTGTGTTACAAAAATAGGTTAGATTAGAGATTAGATTAGATTAGATAGAACTTTATTAATCCCTCGGGTGGGTTCCTCTGGGAAATTCGATTTCCAAAAAAGCACAGCACCGACAGAAGTTACAGAGTTACAGAATATTATATATATATATATATATATATACACACACACACACACACACACACACACACACACACACACATATATATAAATACAGAGACAATATAAATAAAATATACGAAGGGGATAAATAGAATAAATAGGAATAAAAAATAAAAATACAAGTGAATTGCACATTTCAAGTATTGAGGTCTATTGCACTGTTGACTATTTACAAAAGTATTGCACAAAAGGTATTGCACAGTGAGGTGAAGAGGCACTACAGCTTAGTTGTTAACAACTAGGCACCGTTTCATAAAGCAATTTTACTGACTTGTGTGGTACAACCCTATAAACCATAGACTAGATGCTGGATCTACCTAAAAGCTTTGCAGCCATCTCCTCCATCTCATATATGGTGTTTTGGCTGTAGGGTTGCCAACCGTCCCTTAAAATACGGAATCGTCCCGTATTTAGAAACAAAAGTACACGTCCCGTATTGAGCTAATAAGGGACGCACTTTGTCCCGTAATACAGTGAGAATCAAAAGTAGTCTATAACTTTTAATGGAATTAACACTTTGTTTGAAAACATAATTCCCAGCCCCTCTCCTGCTTTGTGACCAATGAGCTGACAGCACACTTATGACAATTCGAGTATGACAATTCAGATTACCGCTCATCTCATTGGTCGAGGAAAGGTCGCTTACGGAGAAAATACCGGAAGACAACAGATGACCACAACAACAAGCATGGCCAACAGGGAAACAAACGCCGTCACTGCGGTGCAAGTCTCGGACGACAGTACACCTAAAGCTGGGCAGACACTGTGCGATTTTTTTCAGTCGCGTTATTCAGCTCCTGCTCAAACTGCACGATTGACTCGCAGGGGTTAGAAGTTCGTAGGTCACGATGCAGGTCTCACACTATACGGCCCGATGCTCTGATGCGACCTGAGTGCTCACACTGTGCCTCCATAAAATGAAGGTTATAACAGAAAATCTGTCGCTCGCTCTCTTCTGTCTTTCACTCACACAGACACACCACCACCATCAACTTTGCTAAATTGCTAATGAAAAACATTATCAGGCAGCTGTGATTGAGCAGCAGTGTAAATCCAACTATTTTCACGGTTGTTGTGGTCGTGATAATTTTGTGATGCCACATGGAAAAGGCTCGGATGAGCTTTCCAAAGTTCTACAAGTTGTGCCTCCATCGCTTGTGTCCAGATCACACGCTGCACAGCCGTGCTGCTCCGTCTTTTTCACCGACGTTTACGTGTTTGCGCGCGAGCAGTGTGAGCGGCTCACGAGCGATTGATGATCGGGAGCTGGTCGTGAGGTGTTAATCACTTCTCGTTACCCCACGTATACTACACGACGCACGATGAAGGCCAAAATCGGGCCTATCACTCAAAAATCGCCTCAAAATGGGCCTAAAACCGCACAGTGTGAGCCCAGCGTTAGAGCAGCAATGTTTGTTCCCCTCAGAGAAAGGGAAGAATGGGAAAAGGAAAACACCTGGCTGGAAAAAGTTAATATGGGCATGTGCAGTGAATATCAGCGCTATGTGGCCAGAAGTGTGATAATATAACTTATTTTGTGTAATAAACAACTGCAAGGATAGATGATTACAACAAATAGATGACTAATACATAAAAGTAATACATAGATGAATAATGATGATGAGTTAAGATGCGTAATCATGGGAACAAGCGGGTTTACAAACAGGAGCAGCTGATTAGCATTAGAAAAGCTGAAATAATACCTCAGCTGAAGCCAATTGTACTAAATGCACTAAATGTGCACTGTTACAAGAATATTTTTCTTTCTATTGTTTTCTATTATTTTAAGTTAAGCAGGACAGAGTTCTTTTAAAGAAAGATTTACTTATATTCTCAAAAGTTAAGCATGACAGGCTTCTGTTTAAGAAAGAGACCTGTTTTACTGTGTTAATGTTGTCATTTTGAGCTAAAAATAAATGGCTAAATGATCATTTGTTTCCCATATGGTCATATCACAAAGAATATGCATCTGCTTAAATCAAATTCAAGTCAAATGGTTAAAAAAATAATTTCACACACAAAAAAAGAGCTAGAAAATTCACCACACTGGGAAGGGTGAAGACAACTGGGTCGCCCGGCCCTGGCCACGAGGTGTCCCTTATTTATTTTTCAGGGAGTTGGCAACCCTAGGCTTCAGCAGCAGGCAAAAGGACCCAATGCGCTCAGGAAATGAAATGTAAACTCCAAAACCAGCTTTATTGCTGAACAAGGAAAAAACGAAATACAGATACAAATTAACTAGGCAGGTTGACGGACCGAACACAGAGTGAGGCATGATGGAGATCACGACAAGAAGCAAAGGAACATGAAGACAAATACAAGTGGGGAAAGGGCAAGAGGAAATACCTGGGAACATGGCTGGCACAAATTACACAGACAGCGCAGAGCCATTGCAGCGGGGGCACGGTGTGAAAAGGGGGGAAAACAAAACGCTTGGACACTGCTAGCACGGGGCGCCTACAGAAACGCAAAGCAGGAGATGAAGCATCACTGAATATGTTTCCAAACCAACTTCATTCTAAGCCAAAGACTAGAAAATATGGTGAATATGGTGAAATATGGTGGTCTTTCCTTTGGCTTCACCTGCACAAGTGCCAAGGTAGGTCTCCCCTGCATAATTGGTTTTCCCTTCGTCGGGAGCACGGCTGGGCTCTTCAAATCACGGACAAACAGTATCCCACATTCTTGATTTTTAGTTCACAAACACTTGTTGTAATAACTAACTACTCCTGACATTTTGGAGATGTTAGCTAGTATACAGTAAAGTTACAGTGGGATACAAATAACATCAGGCTGATCCTGCCACGATTTGTTCCCCCTGTCTAAATCACCGACAAACAATATCCCACAGTTGTTTATGTTTTTAAACCCATTTTGCACAGAGAGACATTTTTTGAAAAATGTATTGATAGCAATGTTGAATATTATTACACAGGAAAAAAACAGCTACACGTAAAATAATCACATCGTGACGCCTCTGCCTTTCTAAATAGAGGGACAGTAACTGCGTGTGTATATGTAAGCTGTAAAACCTGACGATAGTCAGATTAACAGTATTTTGTCTCTATCTGCTACTCTGCAATTCATCTCATGTAAACAATAACGTGGTGCACAGCATGACGTGAAAAAAGGCACATACCTTTGACGTTGTGTGACAAACTCTGTATTCCTCGTCCACACGTAAACGCAAAAAAGGAGTTTTAAAAAAATCTCTGTTTTCAGTGATTCGAAACGCCGTTTACGTGTGGACGAAACAGCTGCGTTTTCAAAAATACCTGTGTAGGTGCGGAGGTAGCATAAAAGAGTTAGACTTATTTTATTACTACCTGTAATTTATTGCAGATTACTTGCATTTGCTTAATTGCTTACTAGATGTTTGAAGTATGAAATAAACCGCAATGGAGCAAAATATTGGTGTGTGTGGTTGTAGGATGTGTGCGTGCGTACGCGTGGCAGCATTTTTCTTGTAAAACAAAGGGGGGCCTAGCAAAAAAACTTTGGGAACCACTGCACTAGAGGTAGGCTGATTGATCCAAATATTCATCATACATTAAAATATGAAAGCTGAGTTTGTATTGTATTAACTAATTATTGTGATTTAGTGGTCATACAAATTTTTGCAGAATTTGCAAATTAATGATGTTTCATCTCATAAATCATGACACAATGTTCTCTCCTACATAAGCTGCCTTTATAGGGTATTGTAAAGTATCATATAGCACTACCATACATGTATTTTGGCAAGACAGCTTCTTTTTTTCTTTCTAACACAATGACAACAGTAAAAGTGTTTTTGGAACATGAAAATTCTCTGATGCTAGGGAAGTTCCCTTAAAATTGTCTTCACATCTGTTTTCACAGCCACACAATCTCAGCTTTCTCTAGAATACATTATGGGACAACACCTTGAAAAATGTCTCATTTAACAACTGTCACAGACCTAAACAATATTAGCACTAGAAGTAGAATTTAAGTTACCTACCAGCCATTTGACTGTGGAATTCTTCTCATGCAATTGAAGGACGGTTTACTTCTTGAGCGTTTATATCAGGAAGTGAACAGCTCTGACTGTTCCTGCACACTTCCTGATTCTGAGGCAAACAGGTCACTGATGATTAATATCCCTCTCACTCACTTACAAAACCTTACCGTAAATGGACTGATTCTTTCTTGTATAGCGTTTTCTACTCTCCTAAAGTACTCAAAGCGCTCTATACAACACAGCCAGGAATTGAACCACCAACCACCCCACACTGTGCAGTGCGTGTGCAATTATGCTTGTGGATCATACCTTATGCATTTATAACACATTTGAGATTTCTTCCCTATATGTACAACACTAACCAGTGGCATCATATACATATTTTTAAACAGGATTTTTGTTTCAGCTGACAGCATCTATGACGCACAATCCAAAGACAGTGAAAGTTACAGGTCTGTTGCACTTAACTATAGTAACAGAGCTCATAGTGTGTAAAGGAGGTAGCTTTTGAATACAGAGCACATTGAAACATTGTGTGTTTTAAGGTCATATGAGGATTTTAGGAAGGCTGCTAAACAGAGAGGGCTTATTGCTCATTATACAGGCCTATATCTCACACAGCAGAAAAAGGGAAGTTAACTGATAATAGTATGCAATCACCTTAGCTGAGTTGATTAACCCTTTAAGACCTACCATAGAACCAAGTCCGCCAGATCTTATATTATATTTTTACATGCTATAGTGCCATTTTTGGGAGCATTTCAAGTTGCTATACATCAATACAACCATTATAACCCAAATTTTAATAATATGTTTGCATTAAGTGCATAGTAACTACATAAATTGCAAAAAATGCAATAAATTACAAAAAAATTGAAAATTGTTTTAGTTTTTTAACATATATTTCTAGTTAGAGAAATTTAAGAGGCTTATCCCTCAAAACTGTAAATGCAAAAATGTTGCACAAAATAGTTTCCCACCACAGGATCTTTATTTTGAGTATCTTCATAGTTTTATTTTTGAAATACACCAATTTTTATATACTGCAGGAAAAACGAAAATAAATATTATAATGCAAATTTGCAAAAAAAACAGCATATGCATCAAAATAAACAATTTCCAGCAGTATAATTTGAGTTCTAAGCATCCCAGAAATGATACAGAAAGTCATAAAGTCAAAGATAACTTTTAAAAACACCAGTATAGGCTTATGAGGCCCTGAAGTTGAAAAAAAAAAA